AATAAAAGAAAACAATAAAGTAATTACTTAAAAACCAAAACAAGTTGAGTCTAAATTTTTATAAAATTGTTGCTATAACTACACAAAATTATTCAAGTGATTTAAAAATACCCTATTACAAATACCTAGTAAAATATATACTAGAAACAAAAGAACTATCGATATAAAAAAATCTTAAACTACATTCAGTGTCCCTGTTGTTAGTGGCAAGGTGGCCATTGTTATTAACTATAGATACACCAGAGGCCCGATGCATGAAATTCACGTAAGAGGCTGGGCCCTCGCAGCTACAGCTTCATTGGAAGGTTGTTCAGCTGTCTGATCTAATTAGCATATTATGCTTTTTTCATTATAGATAATTATGGATACATAGATGTTAGGATAAAGCAATATAACATTAATATCATTAGGTACCAAGATTTTCAGCATCAGGGAAAGGAGACACAAACAAAAGAAGCAAAAACCCTACTGGGTAGAGAGGGCTAGCAGCAGACCTGCAACCCATTCTCTCCTTTTACTGCCCAAGAAATAGAGAGACAGAAAGTTGGCACAATTAAATCATCTTAGAAACTTGCTAACAAGAGACCTTCTGGCAAGCACACCAGAGGTTTTTACTACCAGGAGGCCTTACTCATGGAATGCTTTCGCAGGGTGGACGTGCTCATTGAGATGAACCTGAGATGTATGTATTTACTAATATAAGGCATGATTTCCTAGAAAATTTCACACAAGCTATGCAGTTGCTAAAGAACAAACGGGAGATATTTCAAAACTGAAACACCTTTCTTTGGCTGAAGTCACACTCCACACACATCACTTAGAGACCTCCTCACATGTTGAAATCTGGGGCAGAGTGCATCCTAATTGAGGCAACACAAGACCTGGGAGCAGTTCTGGCTGCCATGAACTTCTGCACACATTGCCTATGTGTTGTGATCACTGTATTTTTTAAAATCTTAGTCATGTTTGATCTGATTCCCATGAGTCCAATTGGTCAACAGAATGAAGCATACGCATATAAAACCCATGAATTTGTAATGATGCTCAAAAGCAAAGCAAAACAAACAAAAACATGCTCACTGGTTTCCTTTGGAGGTTTCTAGGACACTAATTTATTATTTAAAAATATTTCAAGGAAAAGAATCAAGCATTTATCCTGCTTTCCCTATATGGACTATATTTCAGAGTAACCAAATAGTTGAAGAGGGAAAGTTCTTTTTTTTAGTTTTTTTTTTTTTTTTTTTGCTGTTGTTGTTTTTTTAAAATATATTTTTATTGATTTCAGAGAGGAAGGGAGAGGGAGAGAAAGAATTAGAAACATCAAAGATGAGAGAGAATCACTGATTGGCTGCCTCTTGTATGCCCCAATCGAGCCCACAATCTGGGCATGTGCCCTTGACTGGAACCAAACTTAGGACCCGTCAGTCTCCAAGCCGTTACTCATATCCTGGGGGTGCCAGAAGAGAGCAAGAAATTGAAAACCTATATTAAAAAAAAAAAAAAAAAAAAAATGACAGAAACCTTCTATAACCTGAAGGACTTACAAGTCTCCAGGAAGCATAGAGAGTCCCAAACAAGACAAAGCCAAAAAGGCCCACACCAAGACACATCAAAATTAAAATAACAAAAATTAAAGCCAAAGAGAGAACCTTAAGGCCAGCAAGAGAAAAGCAGTTAGCGCTAGAAGGGAGTTTCTAAATGACTGTTAGATGATTTCTCAACTTTGCAGGCCAGAAGGGATTGGCAAGAAATATTCAAAGTGATAAAAAGCAAGGACCCAACAACCAAGATTACTGTACTCAGCAAAACTATCATAGAATCTCTTATATAAAGAACTTCCCAGACAAGAAAAAGCTAAAGTTCATCACCACCAAACCAGTATTACCTGAAATTTTTAAAGATCTTCTTTAAGAGGGAGAAAGAAAAAAAAAAAATTAAAAGTATGAACAATAAAATGACAATAAATATTGTATGAACAATAAATATGAATTTATATGAAAAAAGTATGAACAATAAAATGACAATAAATATATTTACCAACAACTGAATCTTAAAGAAGCAGAACAGAAACAGACACATATACAAAGAACATTTTGATGGCTGCAAGATGGGAGTGGGGCTGGGAAGATTGGTGAAAAGGGTGAAGGGATTAAGAAGAACAAATTGGTAGTTACAGGATAGTCATAGGGATGTAAAGTATAGCATAGGGAATATAGACAATAATATTGTAATAACTATGTTTAGTGTCAGATGGATACAAGGTTTATCGGATGATCACTTAGTACAGAGATTTTCAACCCTTTTCATCTCATGGCAATAATTACTAAAATTCTGGGACACACACAAAAAATGTATTTTTTGCCAATCTGACAAAAAAAAAAAAGGTATAATTTTGATTCGTTTATACTGGATGGCTATTGCTGTGTTGGCATTTTGTTATTTGACTATCTGAGAGAAAAGAGGTCAGGTATTGCACATTTTAAAAATCCTCGCAGCATATTGGTTTAAGATTGCTCACTCAGTAAGTTATATAATGTCTAGTCACTGGGTTGCATACCTGAAACTAATATAACATTGCATGTCAACCGTAATTGAAAAATACAAATTATTTAAAGAAAAGATAAATAATAAAAAGGAATGAATTAAACTATAATACTTGGCCCAAATTTTAAAATGATAATAGATAGCTGGCCTAGATACAGGAATAAAAGTTAGTTTCACGCTCTGACCAGTTTGGCTCATTGGACAGAGCGTGGGCCTGCAGATTGTAGGGTCCCAGGTTCGATTACGGTCGGGGGCACATGCCTGGGTTGCGGGCTTGATCCCCCGTGGGGGCGTGCAGGAGGCAGCCAATCAGTGATTCTCTCTCATTGATGTTTCCGTCTCTCTTTCCCTCTTCCTTCCTCTCTGAAATCAATAAAAAAAGTTTTTTTTTTTTAAAAAGGTAGTTTCAAAGGAAGCAAACCAACTTATTTTTCTGAAGATCAATTTAGTAATATGTATCAAATGTCTTAAAATTTTACATTTAGTCCATCAAATTCACTTTTAAGAACCAATTCTCAGGAAAATTTTCATAGATGTGCACAAGAAACATCTAAAATGATCTCTCAGCCCTAACCCGTTTGGCTCAATGGATAGAGTGTCGACTTGGGGACTGAAAGGTCCCAGGCTCGATTCTGGTCAAGGGCATGTACCTTGGTTGTGGGCACACCCCCCGTGGGAGGTGTGCAAGGAGGCAGCTGATTGATGTTTCTCTCTCATCTATGTTTCTAACTATCACTCTCCCTTCCTCTCTGTAAAAAATCAGTAATATATATATGTATATATATATATTTTTTAAACAAAATAAAATAATCCCTCAGCAAAACATATATATATATATATATATATATATATATATATATATATATATAAAACTTATTTCAAAATCGTACATGATATGAGAAAATGGTCAAGATAAATTGTTAAATGAAAAGTGCAGGCAGAAAAATACCATGTTTCCCCGAAATTAAGACATCCTCCGAAAATAAGACCTAGCGCATAGAAAGATAAGACGTCCCCTGAAGCCGAAACCGGTTTGGCTCAATGGATAGAGCGTCGGCTTGGGGACTGAAGGGTCCCGGGTTCGATTCCGGTCAAGGGCATGTACCTTGGTTGCGGGCACATCTCCAGTGGGGGTGGTGTTTCTCTCTCATCGATGTTTCTAACTCTCTATCCTTCTCCCTTCCTCTCTGTACAAAATCAATAAAATATATCAAAAAAAAAAAAAAAAAAAAAAGACATCCCCTAAAAATAAGACCTAGCGCATCTTTGGGAGCAAAAATTAATATAAGACACTGTCTTATTTTCAGGGAAACAGGGTAGTATATAAATTTTGATCCAATTTAGTCTTAAAACCGTGCATCTTATATTGGCAAGAGTAATTAATTCTTCATGATGTTAATAGCTGTTATTTCTAGTTGATGGGATCAATATATTTAAAAATTTTTCGATTGTTTTTTTTATTAATGCTTATGGAATTTTTATAATTAAAAATTACATTTTTAAAAGATAAAAATCTCAATCAAGTCCTGAAAGTGGCTAACAATAAAATAATAAATGGGTATAACAATGATCTTTAAACAAAATGATAAAAGGGTGGAGGGACAGTGTATAGTGGACACACATTGCTGTGATAAATATGTTTTAAATTAAAAAATAGAGGGTGTCAAGGTGAAAGTTAGAAGAGGATTAAAGTTTATGTAAGCTTCAATTACAGAGGGATAAATACCTAAATCAAACTACCTAGGATGACTGAAAAGGTTACAGCAGTAAAAAGCCTAACACAATTCTGAAAATAACCAAAGTAGCATGTTAGACAATCCTTCCTGAGTTTCTAATGTGTGTACCATTCTCACAGATTATTACATACTGGGGTCCAAAAATAAATGTTACCGGGTTTCCCCGAAAATAAGACATCCTCCGAAAATAAAACCTAGCGCATGGAAAGATAAGACATCCCCTGAAAATAAGATCTAGCACAACTTTGGGAGAAAAAAATTAATATAAGACACTGTCTTATTTTCGGGGAAACAGGGTAGAATATTTATAATAATAAAAGGATAATATGCTAATTAGACCAGACGTCATTCCTGACAAAGCCGGGCCAGAGTGAAGCCAGTCGGGGTCCCGGGTGCCTGCAGGCGGGCGGTCAGAGGAGGGAAGCAGCCCGGGTCCTGGGTACCAGCAGCTGGGGAAGGAAGGCCTACTCCTGTACGAATTTTCATGCATCAGGCCTCTAAATAAAAATGCAATTTTGACTACTGAATTTGGTCAATGTAGAGTGGGTCAAATCTGTTAAGTGAATAACTTTGATAAGGTAAAAATCTTGTAAAACTAAATTTTATACATTATATGTGGTTAATAATCAGTAAACCCAGATTTCTGCACCTTTTACTCTAGCTTTAAAATCAGTCGTCTCATTCGTAAATCAAACGAAAGCAAAGAAAATGTCAGACTACCTGGTTTCCGTACTTTCGTTGGTTCTTCATAATCTTTGTTTTCTGGATTTGAAGATTCTAAAAAGCTGACTTCTTCTGTGCCACTCTCCCCTTCTTGGCTCCTGGGGCTGTCTTCCTCCTCCTGAATAGGTGATTCCAATTCTGGCTCTTCTGAATCAAGAAATATCTGACCAGCAACTACTCTGCCTGCTGTGCTGTGGTCCTTTACTGACTCATCTGATGGCAAAGAAGTCTGCGAACAGAGAGTATTTTTAGTTATCAACAGTACCAAAATTGGCTTCAATCTAACTTGACCATTACTTTTATAATACAGATATCTCTCCTACAGCTCCCTGAATGTATCATACTTGCTCATCTCTATAGGTTTTTGTAGGTGTTCATCACATTGTCTGCATCACCTGCCTAACTCTGCCTCTTCAAATTTCAACTGAGATGTTACTTTTTCCAGGAAGCCCTTTTTTTTCTAATTGACTTTTTTTTTTTTTTTTTTTTCCTGAATCAAATAGCTGCTGTATTTCTGCTAAAGAGACAATAACACAGATAAGTCAAAGAGCTGAGTGGGAAAGGGGTAGACCGTGCAAAGTGGAAACCTAACATAAAAAGACACACATACCAGGAGCCTCTTTAAGGGAGGGAGGAAGGGAAAGAGGGTTCGAGCCACGACTTGGGCACGTGCACCAACCGGGAATTGAACCAGAAACCTTTCAGTGCACAGGACCACAGGATGACACCCAACCAAATGAGCCATATTGGCCAGGGATGGGAAGTATTTCTTAAGTCCTAAAGTCTGGGTTAGGATCTTCCCATACACGCTCCCAATGTATCTTATATTTCCCCTTACGATAGGCCTGTTCTACAACTTCCTGTTTCTTATCTATATTCCCTCTAATCTAGAGATCAGGGATCATAACTGGTTGGTCTACTTGAATACATAATAATCAGCATTAACCATTCAATCAAGCAATTTAAGTGCATAACTCAACAGATTCTTTAAAAACATTGATATAAGTAGAAATAAATGGTAGAGAGTCTTCAAAATTTAAAAAACTAAACATTAAAAGAATAAAATCAATCTCTCTTTAGGCAATAAGAGCCTTTAGACTCTTTCACATATACATACACACACATCTGGGAACATTCAAGTTGAAATTAAACCTAATAACAAACATTCTTAATGGAAATATTTATTATTTTCTCTCCCATAGGTCAGTGGGTTTTTTCTTACCAAAGAATTAGAACTATATTGACACCTGCTATCTTTTCTTTTTCTTTTTTTTTTTTTTTAAATCCAATTCTGTTTCTCAAAACATATAAATTTCATATCTTTTTTTTAAATCGGGCATCAAATATGAGTCAATACAAATGTTCGTACATACCTTGGAATCTAAGGATTCATCCTGGCTGCTTTCATCATCTGTAAAAAAATTTTAAGACAACTTGGTCATCTTTCTTGTTGGGAAGTCACAGGTGTTATGAAAAGAAAGCATTTGGTAAGTACAACAAATAATCAGGTACTGGATAAATAAAACTAGAATTATCTAAAGCTGGCTGTATTCAACAACAGTTCAGAAAAGATTACATGAGAGGAGAAAAAGGGGATGAGATGGTCGTTTTTCCAGGAAAAAAATTCGCTTGATCCGTTATACAGGTAGGAAGACCAACAACTACCACACCAAAACCAGATACTTCAGGATACCATCCAATTATTCTGTATATACTCAGACTACTGTTGAAAGTTACTAAATTTATAAAAATCAGTCTCTGATTTTGTGGTTCAGGATTCTATTCTTTTCCTCTGCTCAGAATCTGGAGTTACATCAGCTTATGTTCATGCTGATTAGCACTTTGTTATTCACTAAGACTACTAAAGATGTGCCCTAAGAACTATTATTATTATTATTTGACAGTAGAATTAGTATACTGAGATAGTTGAGTTCTATTTTACTGAAGAGTTAACCAGATACAGGTAAAAAGTATCATCATACTATCATGCATTCATTCACAAAAGATATACGCATTTATTGCCGAAACCGGTTTGGCTCAGTGGATAGAGCGTCGGCCTGGGGACTGAAAGGTCCCAGGTTCGATTCCGGTCAAGGGCATGTACCTTGGTTGCGGGCACATCTCCAGTGGGGGGTGTTCAGGAGGCAGCTGATTGATGTTTTTCTCTCATCGATGTTTCTAACTCTCTATCCTTCTCTCTGTAATATATCAATAAAATATATTTAAAAAAAGATATACGTATTTATTAAGAAATCAACAGCTTATATTAAATAGACAATGAACCCAGCCACTAATTACACCTTTTCCCCCAAATTCACATCTGCTGCTTTGGCTTTGCCCAATTACATTAATTCTCCTTCTATTATTCTGTGTTTTCCTGGTATTACTTCTATTCTGGTCACTGATTATTCTTTGTCCTTTTTGTTTTGTTTTGTTAATTCTCACCAGATAATTTTTCCCCCATTGATTCTTATTTTTATTTTTAGAGAGAGTGGAAGTGGGAGGAGAGACAAAGAGACATGGGGTCTGGGGATGGTGCTGTGCCCTTGGTGCTGTGCCCTTGACCAGAATCAAACCCTCAACCCTTCAGTCTAAGAGCCAATGATCTAACCACTGAGAAAACTCGCTAGGGCCTGTTCTTATGTAAACGCATGTGACAACTCCATGCCTGTATGCAAATGTTTGGTCTTTGTGTTTCTGGCCAGTTAACAAATAAAGGATCTCTTAAGTTTCCTTTTTCACTCTTAAAATTACATAATTTTAGCTAGGAAGGAGCTTCAGTTTTGCCTGTTCCATAAGTTATATGAGAAATTAACCAGTAGACAAAATGTCTTAAGACCATGTGATTTTTACTAGAAAATTTTGTGTTAGAGTTGCCATATATCTTTACTTCATATGGTCATATTATTCATAACCTATAATTCTAAGATATAACAAAAACGTGTTTTAGAATTTGTATTATCACTGAGCTAACCTTTAAGAATTATAAACAACTCAAAATTATACACAAAACACACAACTCTATTTCACAATATTGGTTTCTTTTGAATATTTGAAAAAAGCCTATTAGTGAGGTTTTGTCATATACAAAAGTGCTTCAAAGAAGCTTAAGTTACAGCTTCTTTCATATCACTGTTTTAGATTACCTTTCATATGTTTTCATTCTGTGGGGGGAAGGGGGAAGAAGAGGATATAGCATGTCTTAATCCACAGTGCCCATACATTTAGGTAGTGATATCAATCCTATATAATAAAAGCCTAATATGCTAAATGTCTGATGGTTTGACTAGTCGCTATGATGTGGCAGATGCTCTAACCAGTAGGTTATCTTGCTGCCAGGGTCCAGCTGATAAGGATTGGGCAAGACAGGCTGAACATGCCCTGGAGTTCTCCCGCCCATTCGTGCACCACACCAGTGGGGTCCCTCAGCCTGGCCTGCACCCTCTAGCAATCCAGGACCCCTCAGGTGATGTCAGGAGTTGGTTTCGGCCAGATCCCCACTGGACAGACAGAGGAACTCCACCAGTGCATGGATGCATGAATCTATGCACTGAACCTCTAGTTAATGAATAATCACCCTGCATGCTAACTTCTTCACAATTATCACCCAAAGCCCAAGTTCTAACATATGGTTCAAATTCCATTCTCAACAAATATTTGGATAAAGGGGGAAAAATTCATCTCTATTATATATTGAAGTTGTATGTGTGAATGTATTCAATTAATCATAAACATTAGATAGTTAATAAATCAAGAGCAGACATTGAATTTGCAAATATATATGGTATATCCCTAAATACTAAAACTTTAGATTATCTGGAATTCTTAAATCACTAAATTTAGTATCCGTCACAACAGGTCACTAAATAATACAGATACCTATAAATAAATATTAAGACATATACATTTGAGATACTACAAGCTGTTAGGCATTAATGTGTTTCTGAACTCCAACAGACATGGAAACTTGTGACAACAGGGTTATTTCATGTGAATTGCATCATGCTTCTCTCTTTCTCTTTTCTCTTCACAAACAGGAATAGATACTAAGGTTACTGGCAAATAAGAAAATTCTTTCTCCTTTACTAAAGTGGGAGAAGCTACCCAGATGGTAGTTTTAAAGGATAAGCTATTTTCTCTTTCAAACTGATATATCTACTCGCATAACGCATTTAAAGAAGTTGCTTATAACCTGAAGATTCTGATATGTAGAAACCAGGTAAGGATTAAAGACACTGAAGTTATGCATCAATAAAACAAAAATAGTAATGCTTTTTATCAGAACACAGACATAAAGCAACAAGAAAACTGCAAAAGGATTCAACGAGGAGTTTCGGATTTCTCACTCAACAGTTTCACATCCAAAATATAATGGTTTGCATTACTTTAGTAATCGTACACCTTCCTTTGAAAAAGATCAATTTTCATTTTTATTTTATTAGCTAACAACACTGCAAAGTACCAGGTATATTCTTTCCGGGGAAAGTAATGATTACAAACTCATTTTCTAACTCGTCATGTAAATTACACGGATACACCTTCAAACAGAAAAGTTTAAGAGTTTGGTGCAGCCGAGACCGGTTTGGCTCAATGGATAGAGCGTCGGCTTGGGTACTGAAGAGACCTGAGTTCGATTCTGGTGAAGGGCATGTACCTTGGTTGCGGGCATATCCCCAATAGGGGGTGTGCAAGAGGCAGCTGATCGATGACTCTCTCTCATTGATGTTTCTGGCTTTCTCTCTCCCTCCCTTCCTCTCTGTACAAAATCAATAAAATATATTTTAAAAAAGAAAAAGAAAAAAAAAAAGAGTTTGGTGCAAAGAGACATCCTGTTTTCTGCTTTGCCACTGAATCTATGCGGATTCTAGGATATTCCTGATTCTTAATTACTCCTATACTAAAGCCTGGAGACCTGGGTTCAAAACCTGGCTTCGTTATATACTGATTTTATCCATGTGGTTCAATATGGCAAACTTTCTCAGACTCCCTTTCCTCAATGTACCAAAGAATAATACCATCTGCCCTGTTGACTCACAGTATTTTTGAGGAACAAAAGAAAAATGAAACATCCTCTGCAATTTCTAATCTATTCTCTGAATATATGGTATTAATACAACTTGAAATACCCAGCAATGAACGTAAAAAACGGTTTTGGCCCAAAGAGAGAAAAGTAAACCAATTGCCTTTTCCTGCCAAAAATAAGAAAACATGTATTTCTAAGTGAGAAAAGTTACAGTACTTTTCACTATTATCTTGAGAAAATAAAGGAGAAATACCTCTTCAATATCCTTCTTCAAAATGTATTTATTCACAGAGAAAATAAAACATTCCCCATAAAAGTATCATTTTTATACATGCATCTAAAACAAGATATTAGAGAATAGCTACTGACAGTGATAGGATCAAAATTCTTTTTGTTGGCTGATCATCATATTCCACTTGCTAATAAATGCAACTTCTTCTGGGTAACTATTAACATTCAAACTTTTTAATCAACACAAAATTATAACCCAAACCCAGATTTTTAACTAGAAACAACTCTTTAAATCTAAACTAAAAATGAATCTGACAGTGCATATAAATAAGCAATTTAATGAATAAAAAAAAAGTCAACTGAAAATCCATGTACTCAATTTCTAAAACTCTCTCACATAAATATTTTAGGATACTTGCACTTTCTATCAGCCCAGGGATGCCTTTATTATCTGTCAATACGCACATCTTACATTATTTAGTTCTCTGCCTCTACCAGAGAAATGTTTTGACACAATTTAACTATGAGTGAAATCACAGCAGACAGTTCTTGAACTTACATCAACACAACCCAAAGGGTTAGCAGTTCAGTATTAACAGTTTTCTATTATAACATACTGAGAGTCCCAAATGTTGGTGAATTGACTTCAAGGATCATCTCCACGCATATGAAGCCTAAATATGTAAAATCTAACTAAAGGAAGATGCAGGAAGGTGTCTGTACGCTTTCAGTTTCTCCAAGTTCTGCAAGTTGAATTCACAAGGATATACACATGCTCTTTAACTAGTAGTTCTCACAGGTTAGTGTAAAGAATCATTTGTGAAGCTTGTGAAAAACTAAAGCCACCCTGACCTGTTCCAGACATAAAACTGCATTTTTAACAAACCTCTACAAGCAATTCTCCTTCAGGTGGTCCATGGTCCATCAAGTACTCTACCGTGGTACAGCAAGTAGTTTGCTTTCATACTTCCTTTGATCAAATAACTGCTAGGAGTGCTCCAAGAATTATGTCAAGTTTTAAAGATTTGGTCCTTAAAACAAACTATCGATGAAGGGGGGGGGGGGGTGTCAGACCTCAAAGCATGATGTTGGCAGTCACATAACTAGCATATGCTTGTTGCTTTTGAAATGGTATCTCAAACCACATTGTGGATAGAATTTTAGGTTTAGGCCTCTTATTTTAGAAGCAGAATGACGTTACGGCATTGACTTACAACTAGGGCAGACAATTTGGGGATTCAAATAACCATCTGGGAAATTTTCTGATGAAAAAAAGGACTGACATTTATACCCTGCCTTGTTCTAAAAAAAATGTTCAAGCCACAGAACAGCTGTCTTGTCAACGAAAACTGATTAAAATTCAAAAGCTTTACTGTACTAATTATTTCCCAATACTTAGACTCACTAAGTGTTTCTTTACCAAACACACTTTCAAAACAGAAGTTTTCAGATGTAGGGGGACTAAAGTACTAAAAGGAAAAATAATTATTTTTAGAACCAGAGTATAATCAGCTAATTTGTAAAATCACAGGGATTTCTATATCTACATACCACTTAAAAGTAGGCCCTGGCTGGATGGCTCAGTAGGTTGGAGCCTCATCCAGTACACCCAAAGGTTGTGGGTTCTATTCCTATGGTGTGTAAGGAGGGGGAAGGGGGCACCGATCGATGTTTCTTTCCCTCTCCCTTCTCCTCTATAAGATCAATCAAAAACATATCCTCGGGTGAGGATTTTTTTTTTATAAAGTTAAAATTAGTTGCAATCCTTTATAAATGTATAGGGTCCATGATTCCCCCTCCCTTTCCCCCAAATCATAAAATTACTGTCAACAAACATGAGACAACTCAGAAACACTGTGCCATTGAGGTAAAAAAACAACACTTTCTTAGGAATACTCCTTTTTAAAAGGGGGAGGGGATGAACACAATTATATCAAAGGTTTCCGTGATTAATCAAAGAGACGGAGGACCGTCTCAGGTGCTCGCACACCCCTGTCAACCTCTCCTGGCTTTGATGCACCTGGCTCTGCCTTGGGTGTCAAACACCTCATTGACAGATTCCCCGAGCCGGAGCCTCAGACCCGATGCCGCACACAGTCCACCTGAGAGCCGAGCGAGCTCCGGGGCGGCGGGGAGGGGGACACCTCCCGAGTCCCCGCGGGTCTGAGCAGCCGCGGCACTCCCTGCCACGGAGTCCATTCCCCATCCGCGAGGAGTCCTGTCTGCAAAGTTCGCTCAGTGAGCAGAGGTGTGGGCACGGGGACCGCCTTTTCCTCCCCTCCCTTCTCCAGTCCCCTCACCACCCTCTCTAGCTCAGGCCCCCGGAAGCCCAAGCATCCACGGCGGCTGACAGGTGGCTGCGAGGTGAGACCGGAGAGAGTGGAGTCTCCAGCCCGAGCCCCCAAGGCCCTGCCCGGGATGGAGGCCGGGGGGGGCGGTGGCTCCTGGCCTCCGACCCAGGGTGGCGGGGCAGATACTGACCCGAGGACGCCGAGGCCGTGCCCAGCAGCACCGCGCAGAACAGCAGCGTCAGCCCGACCCGGACCCGCATCCTGCTCTCGGGGCTGCCGCCTCCCCCGGGAGCTGTCGCTTTCGCCTCTGGCACCACCAACTCTGCCGCCGACACCGCCGCCGCCGCCCGGCTCTTCCTGCTCGCGCCTCTGGCTCCACCCCTTCCCAGGCCCCTCTGCCCCAGAGCGCAGCCAATCCCCGCCTGCCGCCACGGCCTCCTCGCCCAATCGCCGCGGTCTTCCCGCCCTCCTCCCTGCCCCGCCCACGGGGTCAGGGATTGGCCAATCCTTATGCGATGCTCCCACACGGGCTTTCCCGGTTGGGCCACGGCGTCACCGACATGGCCCCAGTTAATTGGTAGCTCCTGGACTCCACCAGCCCGGAATCGGAGCGGGATTCCAGGGCTGGGAAGCCACCGAAGACTACAAGTACCACAATGCACTTCATGGGCTCTTGGGAAGCGTAGTCCACCGTGCGGTGTGCTTTAAAAGCGCAGGTGGCTGTTGAAATAAGAACTTTGCTAACACCTGGGCAGGACACTAACTCAAAGCCTTGAACCCCCCTGGCTTCTTTTTTCTTTTTTCTTTTTTTAACCAACATAAATATTAAGAAACATGCAATATAATGTGTTAAACGCTTCATCTTCGTTTAATTTGAAAAATTTGAATTGGAATAGTGATATCAGACCTGAGGAAAAAACACAACAGGTAGACTGAAATATATATATATATATATATATATATATATATATATATATATATATATATATATATATATATATCTCCTCTGAATTAGAGGAATTTTTTAAACTTAGATAAATAAGTACCCTATTCAGGGTGAGGCAAAAGTAGGTTAACAGCTGTTTGTATTAAAAAAACACACAAACCCATACAATAATTAATAAATAATAACACAATCATAAACTGTGTTTAATGTATTCACAAGTAAGTCTACTTGTGTCCCATTCCCTCCTCCCTCGTATTTAAGGCCCCCTGCTAGATGCTGCCTGGACAAATTAACCACTCCTTCCTGTTTCACTATTTTCTAGTGTAGCAGCGAAAAAATAATTTTTTATTTTTATATTTTTTTGGCTGGTCTAATAATCTAGCATGAAATAGATGAACAGGAGAAAATAACTAAATTTACATATGTATATATAGGGGTTCGCTAAGAATAATGGGACCCCAGGAAACATTGGGCAATTGAGGCTTATATGCCATTCAGATCTACCAAGAGGGAGACAGGGGTCTGGAATTTCTAAGGGAAAGTATGCAGTTCACTAGTAGATGAGAAAGAGCAAAAATAAGATAAAGTAATTCTTGCTGGCCACCCGGAACTGATGGGACACAAAGGGAAGTCTAACAAACATACTTTGCTTGGCTTCCCTCTGTCTGTCACACTATAGGTCATACTATTAATATGATGCTCAGGTGATCACTCCCTTCCTTTAAGCAGGTTTTTCTGAGTTCGTTTAGTTAAGTAAAGGGGGAGGTTCAAAGGTCCTTTCTGCGTCCCTTTGTTTCTTAAAAAGAACCAACTTAAAGTAATAAATATCCCAAGAAGACACATTTTGGGGAGGCAAACTCTACTTCCCCTCCCCAGATTTCCACATTCATTAACACACTCTCACCTTCTCATGGGATCCCCTACCTTCTCCCCGCTGTCCTTCTTATTCTTAGTCACAGTTTTGGCATCTTTTCAGTTTCACTTGCATTTAGTCTTGACTGAGTCTTCTCTAACCAGGCAATTACCGGTTAGGGCCAGGCCAATTCTTATTAATTTTCATTTTTCTAAGTGTCCACAGGACATTCACAAACTTGCTTTGTAAATAGGTTGTAAGCTTACTGAGTCCAGAGACAATTATATAATTCTGTGTGAAGGTATACAACATATATAGGAATATAGCATTGCCAGCTACTAGGATTAGACAATTATCGATTGATTGATAGATATGTCTTACCTCTAAAGCATTTGAATAATAAGATTCAAAGTAAGGTACTTGCTATCTACTATAAATTTAATCTTAAACTATCTTACAGTGAAATAGTAAGGAGCATTTGTACCCCAATTATACAGAAAACTTCACTCATCTGCACTTCATCTATAAAATGGGTATCTTAATAATACCCTCTTCACCAAGTCTGTTGTGAGATTCTAAAAACATATGCAGAAAAAAAGTTCTTCCTCATTACAGAATGTTTTACAGATATTATTTTTCATTGATCGCTTGTTGAAACAAAGGAACAGAGAAAACAAAAAAGTTAATTTTACTAACTTTTAATTTAAAAAAAGGCTTAGTTTTATTAACTTTAATTTTAAAAAGTTAGTTTTACTAACTTTCCCTTAATTTAAAAAAGGCTTAGAGCTGCTAGAGCTACTACTGCCTTTAGCCAGCAATGAGTAATATTGCTGTTCTGAGACTGCTCATGGGACCTTGACTTTTTTTTTTTTTTTTTAATATATTTTATTGATTTTTTACAGAGAGGAAGGGAGACGGAGAGAGTTAGAAACGTCGATGAGAGAGAAACATCAACCAGCTGCCTCTTGCATACCCCCTACCGGGGATGTGCCCGCAACCAATGTACATGCCCTCGACCGGAATCAAACCTGAGACCCTTCAGTCCGCAGACCGACGCTCTACCACTGAGCCAAATCAGTTTCGGCGACCTTGACTTTTGGGGGGAAATTTCAAATCTCCAAATCAGGTATTGAATACATTGTGGAAAGCCAGCTTTATTTAATCAGCTTGCTAGATTGCATGACAATTAGTTAGTGAACAGGTTGTGAATTCTCCATCGCCTTCATCCAGCATACACTCCTCAAGGTTTCCTGTCAACATTCCCAGTGAAAGTTATGTACTCAATCTACTATCATAAACTGTGAAATTATTTATTAATTCACAGACTTCTTTAATATTTGCTCAGCTGTCAGTGCTCTGTTTAAGTTGTCTGTATCAGTGTTCTGAGTCATGTCATAGATTACCAAGTTGCAGAAAACCTGTTTTCTCTGCATTTCAGCACAGCATAAGGAGCAGGTAATAAATGCCTTTTATGAGGACAACACTGATGTAACCTTATTCCATCGAAATAAATCAAGCAATCAGTCAATATTGAGACTTCCCTAAAAGTGTTGAGCACTTAAATCCAGCTTCTCTTCATGTAAGGACGGTGAGACAAGGCTGAGAGCCTTTTCCTGAGAATGGAGTGTTTGTCGCTAACTCTAGTCCACTATATCCTTTCCCATGCTATTCTTAGGATCTATTTGAGTTGGCAGCGTGGGCAGGCTGCCAGTGCTTGTATCAACATATCTGCCAGGGGAGGATTAGGGAGAGGCAAAGAGTAAAATACCCTCCCCCCATCAGCTTGGAGAAGAATATACTTTCTTTGATATTCATGAAGTGGATTAAAGTCATTATCTTTGTGTTCCTTTTCCATGCATAAATGAAAATATAAATCCTTGCACCCTATTGTGAGATACCTCCCACATACATTCTGATCTCCTTGAATAATAGACAATGACTTTTTTGTTGTTGTTACTCCTCACCCAAGGATATTTTCCCCATTGATTTTTTTTAGAGAGAGTGGAAGGGAAGAAGGGAGAGGAGAAAGAGGGGAAGAGAAATATTGATGTGAGACAGGCACCTGGATCGGTTGCCTCTAGGGCAGGGAATCAAACCTTCAACCTGGATACATGCCCTTAACCAGGAATCAAACTCAAGATCTTTCAGTGTTTGGGCCCAGGCTCTAACCACTTAGTACACCGACCAGGAATGGACAATGGCTTTATTTTATTTTTTTATTCTCTCTCATCATTGATGTTTCTATTTCTCTCTCCCTTCCTCTCTGAAATCAATAAAAATATATTAAAAAAGAAAAGAAAAGAAACAAACACCTAAGCTTTGGAGGTGAGAGAATAAATGAGGTGGTGGTATGTGTGTGTGTGTGTGCGCGCGCGTGTGTGTGTTCAGGCTCTAGTTACTGAGTTTTATCCTGAAGTGACATTTACTTTGGAGCTGTGTATTCTTTCTGAGCGAAGTTGATTCATATCAGGCAAAGGAAAAGCCAGGATGCCTCCATACCCTGAATAAATGGGCAGGCATCTTTTGGTCTTCCCCTTCCCCCTCTCCCCATAGCATTGTTAACTACTGTCGATTCTGGAGGGAGACTAAACTAAATCCCAATAAGAATTTGATTAAGTGAACTTTATAAGGTGGAAATAAATAGCTTGGAGCTCCCATTCAATTAAAAATACTCAACTCCTTAGTAGATGTCGATGCATTTAATGAGTGAATGTTGGGTTAGGAACATGATACAGTCACGTACTGGTTAATGACAGGGACACATAATGAGAATTGTGTCATTAGGCGATTTCATACTTGTGCCAACATCGTAGGTGGCACTGACACAAATGTAGACGGGATAGCCTGCTACTGTAACTGCGCTTTTATAGGATGGACAGCACAGCGTGGTAGGTAGGTTTGTTTCACCAGCATCACCACAAACACAGGAGTGTTGCAGTGCACACCTTGACTCTGGGCTTTCCGTTTGTAATGCAAGCGCCTGAGCTGAGCATTGATTGCTGAGGCGTCCACTTCAAAGCTGGTGTCCAGCCCCAACCGGTTTGGCTCAGTGGATAGAGCGTCGGCCTGCAGACTGAAGGGTCCCAGGTTCGATTCTGGTAAAGAGCATGTACCTTGGTTGCAGGCACATCCCTCGTAAGGGGTGTGCAGGAGGCAGCTGATCGATGTTTCTCTCTCATTGATGTTTCTAGCTCTTTATCCCTCTCCCTTCCTCTCTGAAAAAATCAATAAAATATATTTAAAAACAAGCAAACAAAGCTCGTGTCCATTTCAAATAAACCATTTGCCAGCCACCAGGGTAGGTAAACATCCTTTCCCTCGCCCTGCCCCATCTCCTCTGCCAATCATTATAGAAATAGACTCCTTTGTTTTAGAGATTTTGGTTGATTTCTGTAACTGACCATTTGAACTACTTATTTATTTCTCTCCCCACCTTTTAAATGTTCTCTGTTATGTTTTAA